TTTTTAGAAGTTAAACTCAGAAATAAAAAAGTTTAAGTGCACTCCAACTAATTTAGGAGATTTAGCTTGAAAGGGAAATGAATTTGCCAGCGAAAATTTTGCTATTGAGCGTTATTAACAAGGAACAGTAATAATTTACTACACTCAAACAATTGCAATTAGCACAAATTACACAACTTTAGCTATCTCATTTTATTTCATTTGCCGTTTTTTGGGTTATTTATTAATTTATTTACATGCATATACGGATAATTCAAAGAACGTCTTATAAATTCAAGACAGTACAAGGCACATCAAATAGTACAATATAAAAAAAAGAAACAGGTGGTAACATCCAGGGCTACGGTTGGATTCGAACCACTTGCTTCAGAGTTTCTGGTGGGTAATAATGCTTAGACATCCCAAAGAAACAACCATTATTCAAGTTGTTAACATAAATTTACTAAACGATATAATATAAATTAAATAAATACTTATAGTTCAAAAACATAATTTTAAGCAGAATGAACCATATAACTTTAAAAATAATAATTTAGCGACATTGCATCAATAAACCTACTATGTTTATTTTATTCAGGCTTTTTTTGCACTCCTGTGCCACAGGAGCGCATAAAAATACAAATAGAGATACAGATCAAATACCAAAAGTATTCTGATTCTGATCATTTCTAGAATAACAATATTTATGATGTTTTTTTTAATTTTTGAAGTTCTGTTGCTGCTTTTTTTGTATCAACGTTAAATATGTACGCAAAATTTTTATCAATCCCATAATTTTTTTTCGAGTCTAGAACCAAAGTATTTCTTTACAAATGCATAAAATGCATACATTAAAAAAAATTGTTACTGCTCATTGCAAATACAGGTACACTGCACAAAATAAATAAATGAATAAAATGAATCACTTCGAATAACTGTTGATCTAATGTTTGCATTTTCACGTATTATGACTTAATCATGATGGTTTAGAGGAGTGACCTCAAATATGCAAATTAGTTAGACCAGATAATACTTTAAGTTAAAAAATCAGACACACAAGTGTACTTTCTCTAAATAAACATACCTTTTTTTAAAAATATAATTTGAATAATTCTTGACTCCCAAAAGATAAGGAGTAGTAGCAATCTAAGAAATATGGTTCTAATGGTTTGGTCAGGAGAGTGCGGTAGACCCCCTTAATATTGATTTTCTTTTTACGTATTTCACCATAGCTTGATAACTGCTTAAGCGAATATCACAAGATATGATGTCATAAAAGCTGTTGTCGCCGTCCCTTATTTGTAATTGTTTGCGGAAAATTCCCACTCTTTCTACACCGCCTTAAATAATGACTAAGTTAAATAAAAATTAAAAGACTTAAATATATATTAATTAAAAATCATAAATTTCAAATACAATATTTCATAGTGACCATGTCACTACGATCTGTAATAATTATTTATTATATATTATAATTTTATTTAATTAAGGTGAAAAATTAATTTGAATTGCATTATACGCAATTTTTACATCCATTTAAAGAATGAAATTTTATATGGCAAAATGCAAATTTTAATATTCAATATCTCTGGAACTATTCGTCCGAATTCATTTAAAATTTGCAATTGATCTTAATAAATGACATTCTTTTTATTTATGTTTAATTTTGTATACCCTACAATCCAAAAACTTTGCAACTGTTATTAATTAAAATTATTAAAAAATAATAATTGATATTTGAAAATTATTTTTTGCGTGGAATTTTCCTTGGTTAAACAAATTTTATGATTCCGTGAAAATTTTTCAATTCACGTTAAAAGTTCACGAGATATGGCGCAAAGAGTGAAATTAGCATTAAAAGGTTTAAACTTTCGACCGCTCTCCTATCTTTTGCTATTGGGGACAAATTTACCACATTGCAACTATCCCCTACTCTTTGAGGATCAGAATTTGAAATCGATCAAACAGTACAGAAAAATACACACAAAAAAGTAAAAAACTATAAGCAAAACTAGGCATATACAGAGAAAGTGCGTTTTTTGTAAGATTTCATAACTTAAAATATCGTCTACTCTATCGATTTAGCTCATTACAGGCCACCCCCTCGAACCAAGTGCATGAAAATGTGATCATTTAATCAAAATTTATTCAGAAATATAAATTTCTTTGCGCACTACGCCACAATGGGTATCTTATAACATGACCACAGAGTTAATGTGAGGAATAAAAGCCTTTTAAAATTAGGTAGGTAGGTATATCAGTTAAGTCACATTAGAGCTGCACAATGGACTATTGGTGATGATCTGGAAAGCATCACTGAAGGAGATCCGAAGACATGCCATCGTAATTTTGATCCTCTGCAGGGAGGATATCTGCCCTGCTTTGGTAGTCCGACGATCTGCGTGCGAAGTTGAGCACTTTGTGGTAGAACAGTTTACGAGGACCGATACCACGCACCCTCGTCCCTACTCAGACTGATCAAAGTGCCACCCACCGTGTTTGAGTGCAAAGGTTTAGAATAAAAAATATTTCGATTGATAAGTTAATTTAGATTTTTTAGTTGTTATAAATAAAAATGTTTTTGCTGTTACGTTTAAATTTCTTTTACCCAGATTTTTAATAAGATATGCTACATAGTTTATACATATTTTAATAGAGTTATTTGATTTTAATAACCGACTAATCTAAGCACTGTAAATAGTATGATCCCAAGAAATAATCCTAAGAAACTGAAGCGGAAAGATACAAAAAAAAACGTCATATAAAAACTTCATTTAAAAAAAAAAATTATAAAAGTAGAAAAAAGTCAATAAATGTTAAGTGCTCAAAAATAGGACCTCATTCTTATGACAGAACATACATAGAAACAGAAATCAAAGGAAATTTGAAAGAGTAAACGTAAATTTGCCAACTAATCAAATGTAAAACATATAAACTGTTTAAATAGAGAGTGAAACAGAGAGCATAATATAAAATTAAGTAGTAAACAAAAAAAAAGGAAAAATAAATAAGGGCAAGAAACAAACTAGAAAAACCACTGTGGCCAAATGCGAAACAGAAACGTAAAGTTTCTAACAGAAAATCTAAAATATACTACAATAGAAACAAATCAATCAATAACAGAATCAAATATTAAAATTGAAAATATACTGCGAATACACTGCCATAAAAGTGAAAAACAAACTTAGAAAAACGCCAGTGGCCGCGATATGGAAATCAGGCCGTGTTTTGAACAAGCGGGGAGAAACTCATTTTATCAACAAAAGAATCATCCTTCATATGACTGAAACAGAGATTTTAGGGCATCAAAATATGATCCGATGTGACAGGGGTGAAAATAATTTTAACATTATCGAAATTAAATTTGTGCCAAAGATTCCTAACGAAATGCGGCAATACATGATGTGCCAAATTCTTGACGATGTTTAAAGACCTATATTGACGGAACATGATCGGTATGTTCATCATCAAGCATTTAATCACATGATTATTTCCTTTATGGAGACGTTTTGATAACGCATTTCTATAGATCAGGGGTTTCCAACTTACATGAGGTCGGAGGCCACAATTAAAAACAAAAATCAAATGGCGGGCCGCAACTTTATCAAAATTTCATGTAGGACTCTTTTATGTTTGAAGGAACATTAAATATTACTGTCAGATTTTTATCAAGTTGTACAAAACAAAAGTATTGAATTACAAATTAAAATAAGTAGATTTTTAAAAATATTTAATTGTTATTAATAAGATTTAAAAAAATATTAAATAAATAATAAAAATTCGGGCTACAATAACTTTGATGTGCACCTATGTATTAAACAATTAATGTGCAACAGATATCTAATTGTTAAGATATCAAACTTTGAAAAGGTTGGTATTAAAACTTACAAAGTAGCACACACAATATTCAATGAGAAAATTGAGGTTTGTCTGCTGCAACCAAAAGAGACTAGATATTTAAATTAAAAATTTACAAATGTGTGTGTAAATATTTTCATCCAAAATTAGTGATTTCAATAAGTTAAATCGGAGAACTTCTTCGAGAAAATTTCTGATACGCGCATGCTACATTATATTCACAAAATACAAAAAAAAAAAAAAAAAAAAAAAAAAAANAAAAAAAAAAAAAAAAAAAAAAAAAAAAAAAAAAAAAAAAAAAAAAAAAAAAAAAGAGCAACATACACGATTATTGAATAAATATTTTCTTGGATGCAAAACTTGAGAAATAAATTTATTTGCACCGTTAGTATGTTAAATTTCACAAAAACGAAGAAATTAGGTTTTTATTAACGAGAAAGGCATTGTAAACCCATATAGATTTTTCACGAAGATTGTCAGCAAAAAAGTGACAACTAATATATTTTAGTTTGCGGGCCACGAAAAAAGGCTTCGCGGGCCGGATGCAGTCCCCGGGCCGCCATTTGGAAACCCCTGCTATAGATTTAAGTAATAAACAATCATCTTTAATTAAAATAAAAAAACATTGATTATTTACTAAAACTCAAATTTAGTGATGTTAGTCAATATAGTCTATCACGTGTTAGTTACTATCAATAAATTATTTAGCGAAATTTTTTGCGCTGAATATTACTAAGTATGCAAGTTAATATTTAGTAATAATGTTTATTTTAATGAGCCGAACTTCTGAAAACGTGTTTTGCTCAATCTAATAATGAAAAATCACTGGTAAGAGCAACAAATAATACAAAAAGGTTAATTTTGTCTTTATATGCCTTTCCCTTTAATGCATCACTGTGTAATGTGAGTTAATATTGATTCATTAATTCTTGACTTTATTCTTCCCTTACGAATATTCGGATATTAAATGTATATCCGCGAAATATTCATGTAATAATAAACGTTGCTTTGCAATCAAATCACTCGAATTATTCAAAACGTTTGCTATTAAATCTGAAAAATGCAGCTTCAAACTCCATACAATTTCAAATGACTAAGTTAAATAAAGTTCCGTTTTGTTTAATTTTTCAACTTTCATTGCAATAATAAACACAAACACTTACCCTTTATAAAATCAACAGCTTGTTCTAATCCATAAGTGTCCTTATCACAATCGTCTAATACATAAGCACCCAGTTTTATACCAGGTAAAAAATCTTTTTTATTATTTATCCAATCCATCGTATACAACATGCATTCCAAAGCTTGTATACCTCCTTGGGGCATTATTGGCCCGCATATTCTATGATCTTCTCTCTCATGTATCATCATGAGACCACCAAGGATTATATCTCCCTCTATTTCGGCCACTCTCTTTATTGGCCAAGTATGGTTAAAATCGACAGTGACTCTCCTTTTTCGAAACAAACTCAAAGCATCTCTGAGTATTTGAGAATGTCTTTTTTCGCCAAACCATTCATGCTCTTTCATGTACTTCAAACCATTTTGATTTATTCTATTTCCGTGTTCTCGATATAAAGATCGTCTGTTGCTGATTCTATAAGCATCATTGATATTGAGCAATAGTAAAAATACCATGGTCATCGAGATGTTCGAAAATAACCCCATCACTGTAAAATAAATAAAATTTGATAGATTCCATAAACGGTTAGCCGCAAAAGATGTCGAAAAACTCGTCACCACGTGGTTCACATGTCCCCTGCGAAGTATGGAAGAAGCGAAAACGACATATGAATTTCGAAGAATATTACATTCCATTGAACCGCCCTTTTAGGGCAAGTCGAGCGCCCTCTCATGTCATGCGCTCTAAGGCAAACTGAATTTACGTATCAAAGCTGAGGAAGATATCGACTCGTGTACTTCTTATTAAGAATCGTGGTTAATAACAGAAATTTATTTAAGTGTTTTTAATTCTCTTATTAGTAGTTAAATATAACTAGCTCTATTTTCAGTAAATGAACATATTTAAACTATTATTATCTTACTCGATTTGCCACATCATTAAAAATATACGGTTAGAAAAAAATAGTGTTAGATTAAAGCTTACTTAAAATGTTAAAAATAACTAAAAGTAAAAACAATATTTCAATTAAAATATTAATAATAAATAAAATGTGAAGATTAAATCTTTGAACGAAAAAATAAACGTAATGAATTTTTAAGTAATGAACTTTTTTACTAAATTAACACAAAGAAAAGTAATTTTTGTTTAAAAGCTTAATAATAATTGCTGTTTTATTTAAGATTTAATGTCAGTAGCATTTGCATAAAAATAGAAAAAAATGCTTGAAGAGTTATTACTATACCCTATTTGTTACTTCACAGAAAAATACAGCTAAGAATACAGCTAATGAATTATTGTATAGTTAAAGCTTATATAACATGTTAAAAAGCGAAAAGTAAAATGATTTTTTCTTAATAAAATAATAATAATTAAATGTAATGAGAATTAAGGGCAATTTTCTATGAAATTGATGTAACATAAAGTTAGAGTTATAATAAGAAATAATAACATAAGTTAACATAAATAATAATTTCAATGGTTTTGTGTATTGAAACATTAAAAACTAAAATGTAACCAGTGCTAATGATCGAACAGAATATACCTGAAGTGTTATTACTTTACTATATTTGTCATTTAAATTAAATATGCCATTAGAAAAAGGATTGTTGTATTATTAAATCGTGTTTGACATCTTAAAAAAACTGAAAGCGAAACAATATTTTATTTAATGAAAACGTTAATAATTAGATGTAATGTGAATTAAGAGTAAATTAATTTTTAATAAATGTAACACAAGCTCAACTAATTTAACTAAATTAACTCTAAAGATGATATTAACTCTTGTTTTCAAAATGCCTCTTATTAAGAGAACGCAATTATTAACATAGGTTGTAATTTAAGAGCTTGTGTTCATCTTTTACTTACATTAAAAGATAAAATAGGACTAGTATGAAACTGAAGATATCAAAAGTTTTATTATCTTACTCTATTTGTCACTTAGCTAAAATATAGCATTAAAAAGGGGATTACTGAATTATTACATTATATTTAACGTGTAAAAACGTTAACAGTAAAAATAAGTATAATTTTATGAAAATGTTAAAAATTAAATGTAATATGAAATACGAGACAATATTTTTTAAATATAAATGTTACACTTGTTTTTCCATTAAATTGAATTTTAAAAAATGTTTCTACTCTTGTTTTTAATTTGCATCTTATTAAGAATCGTAATTCTTAAAATAGGAAGCAATTTTAATGAATTTATTTATTCAATCATTAAAAGATAAAATGTAGCCAATGTTTACAATCATACTGATGACATTTAGATGTCATCTGTATGATTATAAACATTACAATACTATAGAACAAAGAAATAGCACTAGTGCTATTTCTTTGCACCACTAGTGCCATTTCTTTGTACTCTCTGTATATTTTAATTTTGCAGTGTAGCAAAGAAAAATATACAGTTGGAAAAAGGATTCTTAATTATTAAAATCAAACATATTTGAAACAAAAAATGGTGAAAAAATATCTATCGTTAAACTAGAACATTAATTATAAAATTAAATTTAACTTTTCCAATTTAATAACTACACAGTCGAAAATGTACTGCACTATAAAAAAGTTTGGTTACACAGTTGCCGCCTATTTAAGCGTTTAGGTAAACTAGATGCATTTTTAAATACAGCACGGTAGTAATCGTACAAAAATTGTGTAAAATTGACAAAATAACAATTGTTTAACAGAATTAATGCAAATACATTATTAAAATCATGGTTTTTCTTTAAACGAAATGTTTTTGCAATGAAGCTATATACTGATTCTAACGTGCCTTATAATGAGCGTCGTCACTAAATAAACAAGCTAATTATGAATAAATAAATAAAGAAATAAATCCTGATAATTTTGCTGAAGTTCGCTCCTATTACATATACTGGGTGTTTTCCTAAAAGAAGGAAGCTGATAGTACAAATTAATGGACAACACCACGAAATTCACGTAAATTTCTTTAAATGCAAAGTTGAATATTTTTTCCGTAAGAATGTGTATAAAGTGAACCAAACATAGTTTTTTTTAACAAGTTTTAAATTTTTTTGTTAAATTTTAACGAGAATTTAAACTATAATCTTTTTTTTAAATTTATTTACTTCAAAAAATTTAATTAAATTTTGATATTGTACACGGAATCTCCTTTAATCATTGACGTAATATATACTTCATTTTTTTTTAAACGAAATTATAAAAACCTTCCCATTAATTATCACAGAATAATATTTATAAGGAAAACGAATAAATATTTTGTTTTGGAAATTAATGAATTTTTATCGATTTCAATCGAAGCAAAGTTGGTAATAAAATTATTATAAACTGTTTCGTTGATCATTTACACATTTATTATTAGTTTTCGGTAAATTACACGCAATTTATCAAAAATTAATACTGGGGAGAACAATTTTTTTGGATACCTTAAGTGAAATAAAATCTAGTAATTTTTATTTGAAAAAGAGAGTAATTTTTATTTTTTTAAAATTTTAGTTTACATTTTGATTGACTTCAGTATTGATTAGTTGGAATTTGTAAAATATATGATTTTTTCTCACTGAAATACTAATTCGTGTACTCTATTTACGACAAGTAATGGCACTATTTATCATAAAAATTTAAAAACAGTAATACCTTTTTAACATTATTTTAGACAAAAAATAATTTTCTTGCAAGTTACTTGAAAGTTTTACGTTTTTTCAAAAACAATTTCTAATATGCCATTTTTTATTTATATTACACCATGCCTGGACTGCTTACGATGAAGATTTGACATCTCCATAAATTTTTCTGGTCCTCTTCATTATATGTTCTGGAAATTTACTAATATTTGTTTAAAAATATTTTTAATTAAATTCGAAAGATTTTTAACATGTTTTAATACGCAGAAGATCATTGTGAACTTTTATATGTTCTACGTGCCTCATTTTTTATTAAAAGTTGTTTAGAATTCAAAGTATTAACTTGTGATTGCTTAAAATACGTTGTTAAAAAGATATTTTTTTTTACTTACTGAGTAAAACCGTCTTATTTTTGGTTTATTTTTTGTAACAATGTACTTTTTTCTACTAAAGATATTCAGAGTTTATTACTAATTCTAAGTTCAATAAAAAATCAAAAAATTAAAGTTAAGAAAATGCAAGATTGTTCTTAAAATTATTTCATTTAAAAATTCCTGTCAAATGATGTAGAAAAATGAAAATTCGAGTATTTTTACTAACTTTAATTTTTCCTAAATGCACCTTTAAATATAGAATTGTAGTAATCGTGGAAAAAATTATATAAAATGAACAGAATAACAATTGTTCGAACGAAATGCTGCGAATATATTATTCAAAAACGAGCTTGTTTTTTAAACAAATTTTTTTTTTTGCAATGAAGGCATATACTGATCATAATGCATAGTATGAAACAAAATGAACAAGAAACTAATAAATGAAAAAAAAAAATAAAGAAAACTGTAAAAGTGAAAATGTAAATAAATAATGGGAGTACATGCATCACAAAAATTTTTTTTTGGTTTACCTAGGCACAAAAAAAAGTAATTATAATACACCAAAATTTTTACAGTGTCCGGAGTTTTTAGTTTAAATTCAATTCAAAAGGAAGAAATTCTATTGAACTCATCTTAGAGAGTTTTATGGCTTTCCTTTTCATTTGTCTCTGGTGAATTTTCTTTCAAGATTAAAATGAGAAGTTTGCATACTGCAGGATAACTTTATAGTGTATTTACACTTTAAAGTTAGCCTGCAGTATGCAAAAAGTGATAAAAATATATTTTTTGTAATAATTCAACTTAACTAAAAGTATACAAAGTTTAAATAGTTGACCTCCTTTAAAGTAGAAATATATATTTTTTAATGATGAGTTCACTTACCTTTAAACTTTATATTTCTTCATTGTAAAAAAATTGGTATAAAGTACTGGCACTTTATGTATATCATCCATAAAATCAATTTTACCGGAAAATCCATTCTATTATAAAATCCATTTCTATCGTTAAATAGTTTACAGTAATATTTATTCAACAGAGTGATTCATTGATTTAATGGTAATTATAGCTGTGCAAATTACGGTATAATTAATATTTTCTTCCGTAACACGTTCTAACGAAAATTAATTTTACTGTAAAAGGAACGGCAAATCTCAGTACTGGTGCTTTTTACAGTTATTTGATCAGGAGTTTTTTACCGTCTGAGTAAAAATTGCATTTTCTGCCATTATTTAAAGCTAGGATCTTTGGGACTATTAGAACAAAAAATATTTTAAAGTGTGGTAGCTTTACTTTTAGTTTCGTCTTCTTCGTTGAATCATAATTAATACCAATTGAAATATAATATTATGTTGCAATAGCATAAGTTTCTTAAAGAGTTCTTTTTTTCTTAATTTAATTAAATCATTCATAAAAGGACTTAAAATGTTTATAAAATGAAACTTAGTACAAACAATTAATGTTTATTCAAAAGGCTGGTATTTTATTAATCAGAGTGATTCAATGATTTTACGGTAATTATTACAGTAAAAATTACAGTATAGCAAATATTTTGCTCTATAACATGTACCGCCAAAAATGAACTTTACGGTAAACGGAACAGTCGACTCTCACGGCTTTTTACATCAATTTGATCTGGATTTTTTACAGTATGAGCAAAAATCTAATTTTCTGCTATTATTAAAAGATCGAGTCTTTGGAGG